CAAAAAAAAAAAAAAAAGAAAACTCAGCTACATCTAACAGATGATTGGATCTTTGGCTCCAACTACAAGACATCAACTGAAGTGTTGACTATATATGATGCATAAAAGAGGAGATAAATATGTGCTATAACAATAATTTGACTATTTACAGAGAATGAAACGTGTGTAAAGAATAACCATAAAAGTCCCAGTCGATCAATAAAACTGAATGACTAAAGGTCACCTTGAAAAAGGCTGGCAAAAAATATACGCCAAAGGTCCAGTAACTACACTACTGTACTTTCAGTTGAGTTGAATTACCACTAAAGATGATCATGACTTTCTCTTGATCAATTTGTGAACAGCGAGATACTTATTTAAAAAAAAACATCACCCTGCCTGTATTATTTCAGCTGAAAAGGATTATTTCCGCTACTTTCTAATATTTTGCTCAGAGAAAAGTAACTTTTCAATTCAATTCTTAACGTTTCTACAATCAGTAGGAAATTCTCATAAGCAGGAGACAAAAGAGTTATTCTGTCGTGCACAAAAGAACTATGACATCCAAACACTGTAACATTTTAACTATGACTTCACACCTCCTTTTACAGTGGGGTACAACAATAGCTATCCTGATGCTTTTGTTCACAGAAATGGGACCCATGTGGGACTGCAAATTAAACTTTCCAAAACATCCAGCAATATTTCTTTGCTGGACCATTTTGACCCACTGAATCATTCACCCTGAGAAGTAACCTCAAAACGTCTGTAATACTTGACTGAGGGTTCAGCTGAGGGCTAAATAAATTTTAGATTGCTATAATTTGATTTTATACAATATACAAAATTATTACTTTGTTATGGTACAAATAATGATACAAAATTACTTATTTACTGAAATAACATTTCTAGGCGATGTTTGAACTCTTCTAAACCAAGCTGCCTTCATCAACAGCTAGACTCCAGTAGATATTCAAACTTGACACCATTTTGAGTAAGTCTTGTGACATAGTACTCCAACTGCTTAAGTAACAAGCTAAATGTTGGTCTTGCTGTTGGACTTGGTTCCCAGCAATTTTTCATTAAGAAATATCTGAAAGAGACAACAACAAGAATAAGGACTGTATCTTTAGAGCGTTTCAGTAATATAAAACAGAAATTCACCTGTTACTACAAGATGTCTTGGTGAAAAAGTTGCTAACCACAATTGTAACTACAGTCAAATGTCTCATTAGCCACATTTCTACAACAATCTGGATTTTTTCTGACTACATCACAAACCAAATTTAACCTTCTCATAATAGCCAGTAAAATTTCTTACAGAGTGGCTACCCTGGAGAAGTTCAACTAAAACACTTCTTGTTAATCAAACTAACGGCATTTTTTCGCAACAAAAAAGTAAAATTCTATGCAACTTACAAGTCATATGGACAGTTACTCGGCTGCGGTAGTCGATGTCCTGCTTGCAAATACTGCTCCATTTTTGAATTATCAATTGCCTGATAGGGTGCTTTAGCCAGAGTCACGAGCTCCCATAAGACAACACCAAATGACCACTGTAGACAAGGAAAAACCATCAGTTGGGAATATTGCATACAATTTCAAACCAGGGGTTTCATTAAGGGCCAGGCACCGGGTAAATTGACCAGCTGTGAGGATGATTTTGCCGCCCTGGTTTAACCACCTAAAGGAAAGTTTTTCTTATTAAGAAGTTCAGTTCAAAACATTTTGCCCGCCTGTGGAAACCAGTAATCATCTGGCTGAAATGTCAATAAAACCCCTGTCAAACTGACTACATTATAGTCCACTGAACATCTTTACTTCTATCCAGAAAAAACATAAAACCAGTAACAACCTAAACAGTCTCAAGCCAGTGCTACTCTTGTAGCAATAAATTGAACATACCACATCACTTTTCTCTGAAAATTGTCCTTGTTCTGCAAGACCCTCTGGGGCTGTCCATTTCACAAGTAACCTGGAGCGTATGCCTTTGTCATTTAGGTTGGTTGAGTTCACATCTCTGGCTAAACTGAAGTCTGTTATCTTGATACTGAGGTCATCATTAACACTAAAACAAGAATGCTTGGATTAGTTTCAGAGGTTTACACTTCCAAATTAGAGAGTTTAAGCATGACATTTACGGCAGACAGCAGAGATTACCTCTGAATTTGTGTTCTTTTCTTCTAATCCTTAACTAACTCACACAAAAATAGAAAAATGTCTCCTACTATTCACCGCTGTGACACAGTTATTCCATGTCAAGACAATATCAAGCAACCAACACAAAAAAATGAAGTCAACAGAGTCTAGAATGACAGAAAAGACTCAACACTTCCAACACAAGGCAGATGAATGGATTCCAAAGGCATCTCTGTACTCAGCTTCTCAATTATACCAAGGAAAAGCAAACTAACACGTTCAATACTTACATGCAGTTCTTTGCTGCAAGATTTCTATGAACAATCTGCTTTTGAGTGATGTAATCCATTCCTTTGCAGATCTCAATTCCAAATTCAATCAGTTGGCGAGAGGTAATTGTCTGCAAAGGAATTATTCAATGATTAGTAAAAATAATAACCAAGTTAACATAATGCAAGGCTTGACCCCAATATTCCATAAATACACCCTTCCTTATATTTGAAATAGCTAATTAATGTAAACAAGCTGTTTAATTAAAATAAAAACACCATTTTACTGTTACAATAAACAACTACAAGAACAGACCTGTTCATTAAATTTTTGAAATCATTATTTTCTTTCTCTAGACTGATACTTTCTCCAGACTTAAAAAACTAGTTTGCAGACTTCCACACTATTTCCCAGCACTCTAAGCACTTTACAAACCATGCAGAAAAGGAGATAACCGAGCAGATGTGGCAAGACCTCGACACCCAATTCTCACCTGCATTCTGGCAGAGGTAGCTCTTGAAATCTTTAAAAAGTGCCCTAGATCACCATTTCGTGTTAATGGTGTTATGATGTAAGGTGGAGCTGCTCGTTGAAGAACCACTCCCACAAGCTCCACAATGTTCGGATGTTTAAGGCCTTTTATGATCATGGCTTCCTGCATGAAAGATGTGATGGTATCCATATCTGCCTCGTCTGTAGAAAAGAAAAATACCCTTAAATTCACAACAATAAAGAATCTTTCCCTGATCTCTATACATTTTGTTACGTTAATTGGGATATGTGTTAGTCATCGAGGAAGAAGATATACTGCTGGGAACAACGTAAATACTTACGAAAAACGTGAATAATCAAGGCTAAAAAGAAACTTGAATTCCAGCTTGTCCTTCAGACCAGCAGCTCTCAAATTTTGCTTGCCCTGGGTCTTAGTTTACTTTCACTGTGATTTTGCTGACAGAAGATTTGTCTGGGCCCTTGCCCATCGGACAAGGGAGAATGGAAAGTAACTTGCCCGATAGGGTAATCTACTTGTTCCGGATCACTGGACAGCCTTTTTTTTTTTTTTGAGCCCTGAGAATGCTCATAATTTTTAGGATGACCTTCTTTACTACATCACCCCAGTGTCTATGGCTATCTTGCATCCAAATGATATCACGTGTCCTCATCAGTCCTTATTGCCCCCAGTGGGGCATGGGGCCGTGATATCACATGTACATGGCATGATATGTACAAAAACTGTTGAATTACCTTGAAGCGCTTTGATTGACACTCCTAATTTTTTGCGAGGCTGTTCTACACTGAGTCCCCTAACAGAGCCTTTGTATAAACATCCAAAGGTTCCTGAAAAAAATATTAATATATGTAACTTTCCACTTAAAAATAGCAATGCTGCTACTGCCACTGCTACTGCTACTTTAAAAGATTGCAGAAATCCTGCCCAAGGTCTGACTGAGGTAAAATAATTCTAACATATTTGTTGTGTTATAGATCTTGTTGTAGAATGGCTAATCGTTTTTATCCCTAGTTCATTTAATTTGGTTTGCGTGCCTGAATAGAATGCTCAATGTCAACAACATTTAATGCCTTGAAATAGCTAAACACAATTTTAACTGATGCCAGTATCTGTTTGAAGCTGTCAATGAACCAAATCTGCCTACAATGGCTGATACTCAATGGAACACAACCAGACGAACCAGAAACACATACCTCTGTATAGGGGGTCGCCTAGCGACACTTGATCTCGTGGCAGTAGAATATCAGCAAGTTCTGTCGCCCAAAATTCATTCAAGACAGTGAATAGTCCTTCTGTGTTTTGTACTTCATCAGGAGCTTTAAGAAGAAAAATTAAGAGTTAATGCATGAAAGCTACTGTTACCTCTCTTGCATGTACCTTGTGCTTCTTAGTACAAAAGCACATTTAAATTGAGTTTTGAAAGTAATCAGTTTATTACTTTGGTTTTGGTTTCTGTTTTGGTTTTAGTACAGTATGAGATAGGCCGAGTAGTCTAATTGGTAAGCAATTGGCTTAGGGTTTGGTTTACGACACTGAGTTGAAGACCACTCTATAACGAAACAAATAAACTTACTATTTCTCCTCTCCAACAAAGATTCTGTCTCAAGAGATAATAATGAAGACGGTCTTTCTTGGATCCTGTACTTTGCATCTTCACCAAAAAAAAACAACAACACAAGAATGTTAATACAAATACTCTTTTACTTCTGATCACTAGACCAAAATACATGCTTGAATAGAAGTCCCTCTTCCTATGACCAGTTCTTCTCCCGCTTGAGAGAAGTTTGGAATTGGACCCAAACTCCGATTTACATTCAGACATCTCATTTAGGAAAGGAACTTACAGCACCGATTTCTGATCCACAAAATACCTCACCTCCTTTAAATGATCTTTCATGAAGTCTTTTGTGTTTATGTCTTGTTCCATGTCTTGCATCCCTGTTACTGTATTTACCCTCTGGTTGTTCTACTAAATGTACATCGCTGTCTTCCTCTGGAATTATTAAATTTGTTATTGACGAGTCACTGCCACTGGTATTTGCACGACCACGCCCTTCTGAAGGTGAGAACTTTGGTTTTGGTGGACTATAAAAGAGCCCAGATTTGGAAGTATTTACTGCTTCATCTACATCATCTTCTTCTTCGTCTTTCTTATAAATCTTTGACGAACTGGTAGATAGAAAAGAAAATGGCCTCAGCATAAAATGATATCCCACTTCTGTTTAGACTTGAAGGGTTTTAATACACAAATAGTAAAAATCATTTTATTAACCAACAATTAATTAATTTTATTTAGCGCAACATCCAAAGAACCCTGAAACAAAATTGTCTACTTGCTTCCAATAAATCCGTGTAGCAGATGCAACCTTCATTCACAGCATAAATGTTAAATGAAAAACACCTATTTTGAAGAGACAAATTTTGTTCATATTCCCAGTGATTAGAATGAACGAGAATGAAACAGAAAAGAACGAACATTTATATAATTGTTTGTTAAGCAACAATGGCTCTACCTGCTGCTGCTGCTGCGGTACATTTCCATGTCATCTTCAAACTCCATCTTCAGCTTTCGCTGCCTCAAACTGTACCGGCACAACAGGGCAAGTCCCACTATCAGTATGATGACAAGTGTCATGCCGGCACAGAGCCCCACTATCATTCCACGTGACCAGGGTGAGGAGGTAATCTTTTTGGTTACAACATCTTTGTCACTAATATCATGGCCATCTTTACCTGTAAATAAAAAAAGGGTGCATTTTTAACTTTAAACAGTGTAATTTAGTAATTGCAATAGCAGAGCATCTTCCTCTAGAGAGGAACAGAGCAGCAGCTAGTGAGCTAACACCTTGTTTTAAAATCTTAGCAAGAATTTGCTGAATTCTGACAACAGTCTGTCAAACTTTGCAAACAGAATAAGGGTTTTAAGTATTACAAGAACATGCTTAATGTCTCCTTTCAAATTATATAGCTTTTAAATCACCTCACACAAGCAAGAGCTTATATGACCTTGTTCACAATAAATCACATATTCAACAATAATCTTTTAGAAGTTATTTGACAAATAATATTTATGCACCATCACTCAGCAAACAAAATATGTGTGATTTGTAAGTGGTATTCATTCAGTAGCACTCTTTTCTTCATTCCTTACAATATTTAAGACTTTTCTTTTAATTTTATGAGAAAGGTTTCGATCAAAGTTTACTTACAAAACAAGCCTGAATATCTGCTGACAACTCACTACAAGTTCAATTACGTATAACCAAGTTTTTACAGCAAATGATGCTGCTAAGCTGAAGTGTCACGAAAGAAAAGGTGCCATGTTGGTAGAACTGATTTTAATGTGAACAAGTCATTAGTCATGTGATAAGTCACAGGATACAGCACTCTGCAAGTCTGTAACATGTGCGGAGGTACGCAACTACACACTTTTATGCTATCTTAAATGACATTCTTGCATCAGCGTCTATAAACTACAAAAGATAGCATTGTAGTAATAATCTTCATGCATACCTGTTTGAAGACAAAGTCTTCGGACTACAATGACAAATGTTTTTGTGTCATCAGTCTCTCCTAAACTGGTGTCAACCTTGGTGTAGTTAAGGGAGAATGTCATGTCCACTGCTCCTCCCTTTTTACCAGAACAAAGGAAGGAAACTGGGAAAACTGAGCGACAAAACAAAAAATCATTAATCATTAATTAATAATTAAGACAATATGACTTCTTTGTTCTGAGAATTATAAATGACCAGAAATGAAGTAACAAGTTGTAAAGCATTTTTTAACCCCCTTATTTGCCCTCACTATTGCTCGTATTGTACAAACTGTGAGCTTCCTTCCAGCTCAGTGGAGACAAAACTTTTGTTTCTCTCCTGTTTTGCAATTACAGCACAAAGCTGATATTGGGTTTAAATAATAATAACTTAGTTTTCGTAGCAAATTTTTCAAACCAGTTATAGTTTTTTCCTATTTTTCAGATTATGATAATAGAAATGAGAAGATCAAACTAGACTGAAAATTTCAAATCAAAGATAAATTTAAACCACAACAACAACACTGGTCGCACTGACACATCCATATATTTTCACCACCAATGCATGTATTTACATAAACGTAGATCAATTCATTCTTGATTAGATACAAAGCCCTAGAACTTCATCCCTTTGTAAACCTGCAAGTGCAGGTAATTCTCACCTGAGATGGTTTGTGGAACAATTCCTTGCAAAGGAATTACTGGCACTGGGTCAGGCATGATGCTGGTGTCACTTGATTTGAAACTCATGCTGTAATGCGAGACCTGAAAAAGAACGTTCAGCAAACTCATTCAGTACTAAGTAGTCAATGTCTAGTTTCCTATTCTGCAAATTGCTCAGCACTTAGGAGATGTGAAAAAAAAAATCATCAGTACATGTAAAAGGACACTGCCTTGCATAGGTGGTGCAACTTCGTAAAAAACTTGTGAATCTTCTCTTTAGTACTCCTGTTACTTTTTGAGCCAGTTATTCTAACCATCTCTAATGATAAGAGTTTGTAACAAAATACTTTACCAGGATTTTATATGCCACATTTTGGATTTGAGGGAGAAAACTAAGTGACTCAGTTTTCATTCTCCAGTAAAGAGAAGCATCTTGACAAAGAAAGGAGAGTAAATTATGCCAAGTTTATTACCCCAAGTTTATGTTGCAATTATCTGGTTACAAGTGTTTTAACTTTAGTAACCCAATTGAACTGCTACATTAGTTTTAGCTATGCTGAGTTATTTTTCCTTTTCTTCAGTCTCTCAATGCAGCTAATTTGATTGCACGAGAGTTGTTGTTGTTGTTATTGCATTAGCACTAAGGTTGCACAAGAAACTCCAAAGTTTAACAAGTTCAATCATAGAATGCCATTATCCTAAGAATAGGTTTCCAATTTTGTTATCTAAAAGACACAAATGTTACATAGGAAGTAGCTAGAGAGGAAAATGGGAGAAATGGGCGCCAAATTTATTTCATTCCAAGTGTTTTGACTGATTGTTTAGTGGTTGTTAATTGTTTTGCTTTGTTCTGTTTTACATTATCCCTTTTCAACACCAACACTGTACTTAATACTGTGTTACAACAAGCTTTTGGCTTATCTAGAAGTTATTGTTGTCATTTCCAGCCCGATATCTCGCCTCCTATTATCTAAAATTGAAAACAAGCTTTTACGTGTCTTTCAGAAGCCACGACTCGCAAAACAGGAAATGCTTTAGCCCAAAGGAACTTGTAGAAAAGGCTTGAAACAATTCAACTTCCACGGAACACAGTAGGGAAGATTCGGAAATAAAGATGACAAAATGATCACGTTTTTATAAAGCAACCAGCACAAGAAGTCAAAAAATTACTAGAATATTTCCACTTGGCAAAACTTTAATCTGCTTACAGCGAAATAACCACAAGCGATCGCATTCCAAAAGGTTTATACTGCTTCTAATATTGGCAACGCAATCCTTCAAATTTCAGCTGCGTAATCTTCTCTACATCTTTCCCGTACATGTATATCAAATGAAGCTAAATGACTTCGTCGACAATATTCTAGACAAAAAAACTTCGCTTCAAATACCCAACAGTTTAGAACAGGAGTAACACTGCATTACACAACCATTCATTCAAAAACACAGAGCGATCGAGCTATCTAAAATAAACATCAATAAATACTTTATTGTTCACGTAGGTCTCGTCAACACGAAATGCCTCGGATCGCCGATATAGCGAAACTTTCTATTCTAATCCTTCGAAGCGATGAATATGAAGATTATGAGAACCGAGAAGTAGAATCAATGAAGGGATAATATATCCTCCATCGTTTTGAATCATTGCTAAGCAAACAAAGGAGATGGAAAGAATGCATTCCGGCGATACAAAACACTGTGCCAATTGGTTCGTGTTCCTAATATTGTAGTTGTTAGTCAAGTTATCCGGATTTATGCTACTTTTCTGAAACCACCATGTGTTCTAGATCGTAGATACTTAAGCTGTAGCAAGATACGAGTTTACTATCAATCATTTTGAATGAATCAGCAAAACCGAAAGAAAACATTAGAAATTTGCATTGCGTAAACCAAGTGTATTGTGAGCTACTACGGGAAGGGCTTAGTTATTGTAATGAACATCACCGCACGAAAAGCGTCTTTCCCCCTGGAATTCAACAGATATCCTTCGAGAAATAACGAGCATAACTTAAGAGCTACGCGAAGGCGTAAAATCATTCGCACAAACACGCCGAGGAGACTATGTTCGGCCCGAGCGAGAATCAAAACACCGCGCATCCATTAAGTTTATTGCCTTTAGTCACGTTTCACTCACCTGCGGGGAAGAGAACCAGGTTATCTGAACCTCAGAAACTGATGGTTCTATTGGTGCCATAAAACGATAAAATGCACTAGGATTTTGCACCATGGTCACCGGGGCTCCGGCTTGAATGATGTACAACTTCCCTTGGAACTCCATCTCTGAAATAGAACAAGTATTCCGATTGAGTCTTCTCTCCACATGGTTTGCGAAATATTTACAAACTTTCTCTCCTTTCTTGAAAGAAAACTACTCACTCATATACGTCTTAGCATCCTCCTTTGAAATAAACATGTTCAATTGAGCAGCTGCTTGGTTTAACACGGTGCAAAACACCAAAAGGGCAACCAAGTACGACCACGTTGTAGAACGACGAGAAGCCATACATGCGATGTTTACAGTGTAAGCCCCGAATAAGTTCCGCTTCCAGTGCAAGTTTTTACCCTCTTTGTAACCACTCCACTAACTGTACAATGATTTAGCATGCTTAAAGACTACTTTTAACATGTCTGGGGAGGTATTCTAGGTCTTCCAATGCCGTACTGAATTTCAAAACATAACCCCCGATGACGCACTCCTGAAATTCAAGTGTAATGGTAGCTGCTCTCCTTGGTGGGGCAGGGTGTGACGTCACATTCTCGTGGCCAATTACGCGCGGCTATTGATTAGCAATCGATTGCAGTACGTGCTTGGAGAACAGAAAAACCTGTCATTATTTCGCGCGTTTTGTGTTAATGAAACAACTGAATCAACAACTATTACCGGAAAAACTAGTTATGAGCTTCACTCGCGTGGGCCGAGGACTCAGTCAACGTCTCAGTCACTAATCATGCGGCCGCCGCCAAGGGGGATAAGGAGCTGTGAAAGTTCAAATTTTCAAAAGAAAATAAACCCGCAAATTCATCCCCCTTTAAAAAAATATTTTAGTCTCTTTATTTTTAACCGGTAAAGCAAGAAACAGGCATACTCAGGATAACGAAGCATCAATCAGTCTCCGCTCCGGAAAAAGATCAGACTAATAAAAAAAATAGGTTAAATATTTTGGTTAAGTGATCTATATCTGTTCTATAAAAGTATTATTTTGACTCAGTGACATCTTAATCTATTTTCTCCGGTTTTTCATGTTTTTCGTTTGTTTGTAAGGGCGAATGCTAGATATCGTGACTTCAACGCAACGTTTTCTCAGTTTAACAAACCTTGAATTGCGGGGCAATATCGCGAGGTGATAACTGGTAACTTAATAAATGCAGTAACATTGTTTGGGCTGATATTTTTTCACCCTTAATTAGAATAGTTACATGTGATCAAGAATAGTCCAACCTGTATACAATGTTTTATTTGCTAGTCAGTTGTAAAGAACAATTATGTTTTTCATGCGCGCCTGGTTGTAAAGAATAATAAAGTTTCTTATGCCTGCTTGGTTGTGAGTTTAACTGAAACACACGGGAAGTTTAAACTTCCCGTGTGTTTCAGTTTTTAAAAAAAAAAACTGTTAGGTTACGTTTATTTGATGCTTTGTGAAAAAAGCATGAAAGAAGCATATTTTAGAGAATTAGGATAACAGTATCCTTGAATAAAAAAAATTTAGTGCCTTTTCATATCGATTGAGGAAAACTGCAACTAGTTTGACATGATAACGATATGAAATGCTCTTTTGTTAGGGATCGAGCGGATTGATGAAAGCGCACTCGTTTCAGTTAAAGAAAAAGGGAGGTGACCTGGCTTCTCTTCCTTTGACAGATCTCTTATAAATCTAATTTCCTGCCAGAAAAAGCAATTTGGGAATTTTACAATATTTTTCATGCCTTTTCGGTGAAGCTCCCTTTGACTGCCGACAACGCTGTTACGCAAGGCTCTGAAAGCCGGGGTTAAAAAATAAACAAATGAATTTTATCAGGAGCCCATCATCATCTCGGCTAAACATTTTTACGAAAGATTTTCTCGCTGCTTTAGCCATATTACCAAGCTTTACGCTGCGTGTCCCCGCTTGGAAAATAACTTTGTTAACGTTGTGTCAAACAGGTGACCGCCAGAGCGGGTGTGGGACAGAAGCCTTCATACAACCAAGATTGAAACTTTTTCCTGACCTCGTGGCTATCTGAAAACAATTTTGCCTGAGCTAGGCAAAAACGATCATGTGGGACTCACCCCGCTTCCTGTTCCGTTGGGAATTACACGTTAAAGGTTCTTCATTAGGCAATACAAAGTCTTTTTGTGTATATTTTCAATCTTTTCAAATCTTCGTAGATTTTCAGAATCACAGTTTTTTTGGTCTCGCTAGGGAATAAATGGATCGAAAACCACGATAAATCTTTCTCGAGTCCCTCATGCAAATGAGAAATAAACCAAGGATCTTGTCCCAGGCCTGTCATCTGTTGTCGTAGATTTCTATGCAAAGACTTACATTAGCAGCATTTTCACTGACTTCACTTAGTACACCTCTCCCAGACATGACCGTGAGTTAAATATTTGAGAAGGGCTTCAAATTGCCCAAAATTTTAATGGCAAACTTAAGAGATACCCAATTCCAGGCCAGAATGTTATAGAATCTTATTTCAAAATGAAACTGTTTCAAAATCATACCCTTTGACGCAGCACCTACACTGGTAGATTATATAAGGGCGTTATCTCACTTGGGCCCCTGACTTGGCCTGTGAGTAGCGTCATGTTCTACCGTTACGTTCATCAAGTTCAAGGACTATTGGTAAACATGGTAAACCTTCCCGATAAACATGGTCCCGACGGTCTACAAGTTGCTCAAAATTAGCACACGTACCTAAGGCACCCATTCGTAGGCACAAAAACAAAACGCTATTTTTACGCAAATTTAGCAGGCCTTCATGAAATCCTATACGTTTCTGCTCTGTTTTGCACGTCATCATGTTCTTGAGGAAGTTGCTTGATAAGAGGTCGTGATATACCGTTTCACGTTCTTTCAAGGATTTCCTTTCACGTACGACGCACTAATCACACTTCACCTATAGCCCTGCAGCCAGGAACTTGTAAGAGGATACTATCTCACCGAAACTGAGACTTGGTCGCTTGGTTCAAATGACGAAAAAACACTGCTATATGTCTGACTATAAATAGGCTTTTAGTGAGGCATTCCGGCACTGTTCAGTAAGGACCCTGTTCCATGCACGAACTACTTGAATTATATGAGTAGTAAACACGGATTAGTTTAGAATTAGCTAGCAAAATATCCGGCTTTGAAAGACTTGAAAGATGAGTGGTCTTGGAGCAAATTTCACCTGGTTGACCGAGAAAAAAGAAAAAATGAAAGAAGAGAGAAAATGGAGGGTAGAGAGTGAACGAACGAACGAACGAACGAACGAACGAACGAACGAACTAATACATGAAAGGATAGGTGTCGTACATTGGTGTGATGCCATCATGAAGGGGTACTTGAAGTGATACGTGTACTTCTGTGGGTCAACCTGTCCAGGTTTTTTTTTGTCATTTGTTTTGAATGCTACTTGTGAGGAATCATTCGGCTTTGTCCTTTACGTAGAAGAAAAGAAATCACATCAGGGTAGGGTGATGTATTGTCTTTAAAATTAGTATCACATCAAAAATAGACATATGGACAGAGTTGTTCAAAGGATGCTGATGTTAATAAACTCAATCCGGCAGACGAATCACCATAGCTTAACTGAAGATTTACATGGCAAATAAAGTATGTATGACAAATATTTATAACAGATCCTTATTCCCCAGGGGCCCTATGGATACCAGCCTCGTTGCTGAATGGGCTACCCTGGTTAAATAAAGTTACTTACTCACGCTGCACTTTCGTCTGGGAATGATTTAAACCGTATATATCGTTATCCATGCTTTGAACAGCCAGGGCCAGGTATTTTCAATATAGCCTGTTGAGGTTACAACTTTGAGGGGGGAGGGGGGCGTTTCTTTCGGAAGTTAGGGTAAACGAAAATAAAAACCGTGTCTTCAACGAGTTTCAGTTTTTGTACCTTTTCGTGTGTCCTGTTATGCTAACCTGTTCCTCGACTTTATAAAAACTGGTGGCCGACGCGTGGAAGGAGCAAATGATACCAGAAACACAGGCCCAAGAACATAACCAACAAAAAACAGTGCATAATTAATTGCTGTTTTGACATGTGCGCGGCGTCCCGGCCTCTGTTAGTTCTTCTGTTTAGTATCGGTATACAATCGTTGGGTATTCGTGAGTAATCGGGAACATTCGGGCTATCGATTTGTTCTCGGACAACAACAAAGTTTGTAGTGCACACCTCCCGCCTCCAGTGAGCTCTTCGCTCCCTTTTCCTTTCGGCACAAAATGGCATTGAGGAGAAATGCAAGCAAATACGGTGCGTCATCTTCGCACGCGGACGAAGATACTCTGCCGACAGAAACTCAAACCAGTTTCTTCCAAAAAGGACGCGAGTTCGAAAGTCGCTATGTAAATCATCATTACACGGAAGAAGAGAGGGAAAAGCTCGGTACATTCGAGAGTGTGGACTATCTGCCTCCTCACAGTGCTGTTTACAAGGTGCGTCGAGGGTCTCATGATTTTGATGAACTGGAGAACTGCGGGTTACTTGAGTGAGAGAGGGAAGGCAAGGACACTTAATGGTTCTTCCATACATTTTGATTGAAAATCAATTAAGCTTAACTAAACGATTCTTCGCTAATTATCAACAGCTATCCAAATTCGATATCACCAACTTCAAGTTGATAATTAGTTGATAACTTCACTTGCCAACTAATTTTTCACTATGACAGTTTCTTGCACCTTACTTTCCATACATCCCTCGAATCTTATAAGCTACATGTAAGCTTAATAGATTGTACAGACAGTCTACTTGGGTTGTCATGCAACACTTATCCCCACTAAAACCTGCTTAGAGAGGGAAAAGAGAGAAATCTGTGTTGACAAAAGTAGCTTGGAACCAACAAAAATCACTGTCTACTGTTTGATATCGGCTGGCCACTCTGCTGGATTATTCTTCATAATCTTTAGAAGAAAGATGGCAAAGTCAGCCACCTACTCCAGCAAAAATGCCACCTTAGCTTCTTCAAAACTTTGCGACAACTCCGCTGAACTGCCTTCTTTTTCATGGTTTAGCCAATCTCAGAATAAATTTGTATGACGACATAAATCCATGGCCCTGGGACCCACTTACCTGGCCAAATTGGGATACCAGTATCTTAGACCCACTACTTTGAAAATGTTGCTGCTGATGCACCTATCTTGTGTGATAAGCTTGGAAGCATCTGCATGCAGTCTTAAATGGGTTCTTCCATTCGGCTCTAGTGCAATCTTAACAAATTATCGACAAGTCACCTCCTAGTGTGTAACCATCTGGACTGTTCAGGTATGCACTCATAGAATATTGAGGAAGGGTTTGGTTGTTTGGCAGGTGTAATGATCTGAAAATGCTCTTTGCAAAACAAGAAAGTAGAACTGTGTTAGAATTGCAGTAGTGGCAGGAACATGTGGATACAACCTACGCCTTGCAAGAAGTAATAAAACCTTATTTTTTAATATTGTAGTTACTGTAAGTATTTTAACTTTTGTTTATTTACCTACAAATTCTAGAACTGGCTCAAGCAGCAGCCATCACGACTGGATTGGGATCGATGGGTAATGATGGGCATGATAGGATTCTCTGTTGGATTCATTGGCTTCCTTATGCATCAACTTATTGATGTTATAGCAGAGTATGTAACTACACTCAAATTTGATTGATTTTTGCTAGCAATCTCTCTTTTTTCACAAAGACCCTCTAACCAAGTCAGCTTCATGCCAAGTCATCATCATGGTAATGCAGACACACACCCATGATGGGAATCTCACTAGTAAATAGTTAGACGTCTGGCAGCCAGTTTTTTTCTCCAAGGGTCACTTAGATGAGTGCATAACCATTGCAAATGCAAAAGGGTGGTATGGCCAAATGGGGAATGAGGTGAGACATGCCCATGTCTCGTTCCATCCATTCTTCTTTAAGCTTAAGTGTCTTGCCTCATAAACCCTGCTGAATTTTGAGGTAAAAATAGACTGCCAGCAGTCCACTTGCCAGTGTGCTACACCAGTACTTTACTGACAATGATATCACAGTGATATAAATGTACAGTGGCATCCTGATTTCTCAAAGTCTCCTTTTGTTGAACGTTCCAGTAACTTGAACCAAAAGTTGTTTCTCTCCCTTCGCTTGATTTTTTAAACCAATTTCTGTTTCCTTGAACAGAAGGCTTAAAAAATTAGGATTCTGCTGTATGTAACATTTCATAGAGTTAATTAAGAATATAATCAAAACTATAACAAAATTCTCAAACGTGATTGGCTATCAGCAGCCAGATTTGAGCATTAATTGGACAGTGTACGCGTCATGCTTGCAATTGGACAGTACGCGTCAATTTGCGTGCGCTGTTGCGGTGCACTTTGTTGAGTAAACTGCTGTSTTTTTCAGCATTCATAACGATGTTTAATCGTTCAGCGCTCAATCGATGGTTTGTTCATTTCTCAAATTTTGTCATAGTTTTGATTAATCGGTTACAGGGCTTCGCGTCGTCCCATTCAGTTTGTAATCATACTCACGATTAACAAATCAGACTCCCACTTCGTGGTCGTCCGATTTTGTTAATCACTTGTATGATTACAGACCAAATTGGACTCCACTCAGTCCTATTACCATTATAAATAATTTATTATCTCTAATAGAATTTTTTTGATAAACACTTAATTTGCAGGGTGAAGTGGGATAAGGCTTCTGAGTTTATTGAGGTACATCTGCATAAAATGATCATTTAAGTGTTGTTTGGGATTTTGTCAAAACCTTTTGCAATTGCAGGCAGGCTACACCTTAGAATTGTTTGGAGTGTTTTTTTGGAAAATAAAACTCTACTATGCCTGCCCATATGTAGCAATATTTAATCCTTGTTGACGTTTAGTTTTTTTTAAACTCATTTGCATTTAAATTTAATGTAATAATTATAATTTATTTAAATCCAAAACAAAGTCCTGTTTAAACTTAGTAAAAATACATAAGTTCACATAGAATTTTGAAAGTTTAAATTTAAATGAATAAAAAGGATTAAATCAAACTTAAGCAGTTTAAAGAAATATTGCAAATTATAAGGTTTAAAGGCATTTTAAAAGTTTAAAATTAAAGATAAAAAGATTATTAATAAAAATTGTGCGAAAAGTTTAAACAATAATATAAACTAGTATTGAATCAATTTCACTAAAAACTATAAATTAAATTTTAAAAAAATCAAATCAGATATTTAATTTAAATGGGAATTTGTTTTGAGTTTAAATAAAATTTGGACATGAAGTTTAAATTTAAGAGCAAATCAGTTGAAATCAACAAGGATTAAATATTGCTACAATCATATAGGCAGGCATACTGAACTGTTACTATATAAGAAATGTATGATAGCAAGTTATTTAATTTATTGTGGGTAGACATAGGTAAAATAATATATTTCTGTTTTTTTGTCTTGTAGGATCGGGACTATGGTTTGGCTTGGGTCTGGGTTATTGGATACAGTGTTTTATTTGTCATAGCCAGTTCTGTTCCAATTGTGGTCAGTAATGTTGATGTCTTTATAAATCCCATTTCAGTAAAAAACTTGTTAAGTTAAGGTATATCTGATTAAAAATGGAAGAGCAACCAGGATTTACAAATCATCTGGAATGAAAAGAATATTCTGTGGTCAAGAATTTGAAAACGTAAGCATTTGGCTTCCAGCCTTGAGCATTTAAAAACTAAGATGCCAAAATACAGGATGAGAGATATGAGAAAAAATATAAAAACATATTTTAAAATAAGGAACAAATGTTAGTACTAGTTCAAAAGAATAGTCTAAGGCTATTGTTTTGGCTATGGCTTGGAATTATTGTCTGCCTTGTAAGAGGTACATTGAGAACAATAGCAAAGAAGACAATAACTCAAAGCTGAAACCAAAACAATAACCTGTTCTTTTAAATTAGAACATAACATTTTGTTCCTTTACCTATTTTACGTTTTTTGACACTTTCTTTCATATATCTCTTTTGCATATATCTTTCTTCTCATGCTTTTACATTTTAGTTTAAAAAGGCTTTTTTAAGGGCACTCATTACATGTACATGATCAAAATTTCAAAAATTTGATTTGGGCATTAAAGGACTAATGATGCAAGTTGCCTTTAAATATTAAGTAAAAGTTTAGTTAAGCATGACTTGTTTTTCCTGACAGTACTATCGGCCTTCAGCTGGAGGTTCTGGTATTCCTGAACTAATTGGTTTTTTGAATGGAACTGTGGTGCGGCATATATTTAATTTCAAGACTATGTTAGTCAAGTTCTTTTCCTGTGTATGTGCAGTTGGTGCGGGACTTCCTATTGGTCCAGAAGGTCCCATGATTCATCTTGGGTATGTTGCTTATATGTTGTTAATTTTAAGTAATATCTCAAACATGAAAGACGTTGTTTGACCACATTTCCAAACACCAGGAAGAGAGTTGAAAATGTGTTGCAAAGTGGTGTATTATTAATGAGCTATGAGGTGTTTGGAAATGTGGTCAAACACTGTCTTGAGTGTTTTATATATCTTCTCAATGGAAACTAACCACCTATTAGAAAATGGAGAAATAGAATCGCAAAAATCCATGCAAATTAAGATCAGAATTCCAAACACTGTCACAGTCATGATCTCTTGTGTTTAAACGTGATGAATTATTAATGAGTTTGAGAATAATACAGGGTTCGTACGGGTCCTGGAAACCCTGGAAAGTCCTGGAATTTTATTGTGGCATTTTC